CCGTGCCAGGGTTGCATTTTAGGCTCCGCCCACTTTCCCCGGAATTTGCGGGGTCTCCTCGAAAGGACCGTGAGGTTGTCCCATAGTTTGTTGGCGGGGGTTCAAATTCAGCTCAGATCGGAAGAAATAGTGGAATTTGGCATTTTTCAAGAAAAAAAAATACATTTTTTAAAAATAAATTTGGTGAATAGAAACAACAAAAAAGTGAAATTCGGTAGAAAACAAAGAAATTGTGGCCAGGAACAATTCCTAAATGTCTTGGGGATTCTTCTCCAATGAATCGTAGAATTTCACCTTCTCCTTGACGCATTCTTGAAGCGATGATAGATCAGCGGCTTCTGGAAGCTTCGAAGTCGGTGGGAACGTCTTCTCGACAGCAGCCGGAGCTCCGCGGGCAGCGAGAAGTTCCTCCGGGTTACGGTTTTCGAACTCCTTGGCGAGCTTCTCGAGGTCGTAATCGGCTTTGGATTCTTTGCTGTAGGTTGGGTCCATTCTGAAAATTAGGAGGACGATTAGGGATTCAATTTCTAGAAGGCGTGACTTACTTTAGAGTTCAGAATTCAGATTTCAGATTCAGAAGGTGTAGTCTTCGTCAGCGAAATTGGAAATCACAGTGAATGAATGATTGAGTAAACAAATTTGTTTACATTTTGCTGTAAATAGGTCAATTTGTAAACAAAATTGGAGCGCAAGTGCCGAATTTCAAATTGGCGGGGATCGCCAAATTTTGATTTTTGACAGAAAAAAGCTTGGTAAAATACGATTTTTGGGTGATTTCGGGTGCCCAGAAGCAAAGAATCGGTGCGAAAAATCGTTATTTTTGAAAAAACTACGAAAAAATGAAAATTTTTCAAAAAATGTGTCAAGTTGTAAACACTTGTCCGACAACCGTACACGAGGAAAAGCCGAGCGAGCAGTCTTGAATAGTTTCAGTTAGCGAGAAATTCAAATTTAGTTTCTTCCGGGTAAGAGACGCTCCCCGTCTTAATATCGTTGTTCAATCTTTTCATTGTTCAATAAAATTGAAAAAAAAAACTTTATATTTCCAAATTCGATGAGAAGAAACAACAAATATCAAAGATTCAAAGATTCAAAGATGAAATACACTTGAGATACCAGTATTATTGCGTCGGGAAATTGCTTAAAAAATTTAAAATTGGCTAAACTGCAGAATCTTGCTGATTCGGCGGCTTATTATCGATTGAAGTCGTTGTCATCTGATGATCACTTCCCATCAAATCTCCTCGTCTCAATTGAACTCTTCCAAATCCTCCTCCATAAATGTCAGTATTCGATTTCATGAAGGTAGCAATTGATCGGACAGTGAAGTTGTTCAGAACATCATTCGTATTTTCTCTCTGAAATTTTGGAAATTTGTTGCGCAAAAATTAGAAAAAAAACGCAGTAATCACTCTAATAGAAGACCACCCTTTACTTTACAGGAACCGAAATAAATTGACTCAAAGTTAAGGGGGGGGGGGTCGTTCTATCAGAGCCTACGGTACTTAAACTTTGAGCCGATTTATCTCAATTGCTGTCAAAGATATCAAAAAGGAGTCAACTGACAAAATGTTTATCACAATATCAGCGACATTTTGTTAGTTGACCACTTTTCACTATATTTTACAGAAACCGAGATATATGGGCTCAATGTTGAGTGGGTGTCTATTAGAGGAAGTACGGTACCTGGGCAGCAACATAGTCTTCTACACTCAACGCCCTTTGGATATGTGGTGGATGAGGAGCTGATGGTTGCTTCGTTGGTTTTTTCTCTTTTTCTTCTGGCATCACCTTTCCACGACGAACAATTCCATCGAGTTTGTTCTCCACAAGAGTAAGAGCACCTGAAAACCATTTTTCTCTTCAATCTCTCAGTCTCTTTCAACCAACCGAAAATTCCATTCTCCACAGCAATAAATGTGTTCCTGTTGACGACCTTGGTGAGTGCCATACCGAAGAAGAACATTATCGAGATGATAGGAGAGAACTGACATCATCATTCGCGTTACCTTTTCAATTTTTATCTCAAATTTCTTACCGTAGCATTGTTGGGCATGATATCACCCAACCCAATCGTACTCAACGAGATGAATGAGAAGTAGAAACAGAGAAATAGAGACATTCCGGTTCCTGATTCTTGGCCACTGAACTCGTCGAAAAAGTGGATGAAGATGGTGCAGAATGCTAGGTAGAGAGCAAGAAGAAGGAGACATGCTTTGATGGGGATTTTGATGATTTCGTTGACGTCCAGAGTACGGTCACCGTTTAGTTCTCTGGAAATGTATTGCATAGGTTCAAACACAAGGTTATAATTTGGTATACAGTGTTCAGCAAATAAAGACTTCCATTTTTTCGGGTGGTTGCAAGACTTCCAATACCGTAAACACTCTAGCCTAACTTTAAACTTTGAACCAGTATATATCGGCTCCTTCAAAAGATATTTAAAAAAATACTTTTGATAATATCATAAAAATTTTATCAGTTGACTATTTTTCAAATATCTTTTACAGTAAATGAGATATTCAAGCTCAAACTGCACGTACTGGACTACCTTTACTACGGGATAAGACCAGAACTAACCTCATTCTCTGTATCAACTGAGCATATAATTTTGTCAAATGCACCAAGAAGAACTGTCCCAAGTCACGAAGAGCCACCAGTGTAACTGGCACAAAAATGAATCCGTAAATACAAACTAATAGTTGTCCGAGTGTTGATTCTGGCGCAATCGACCCGTATCCAGTTGTTGTGTAAACATTCATACTGAAGAAAAATGCACTTTCGAATGTCCATTTCCAGTTGCGTCCGTGGTCTTCTAGTTTGTAGTACGTCGAACCTTTGTACTGTCCTTCTAGTTTCATCAGTGTTAAGTAGGCATCCTGGAATTAAGGATTACTGTGGGTTGTACTTGTTCACCGGAAAAGTTGAGCCGATTTATCTCGATTCTTGTGATAGATATCAAAAAAGTTGTCAACTAATTGATTGTTTGAAATAATATCTGCAACATTTTATTGGTTGATTACTTTTTGATATCTTAAACAGGAACCAAGTTATTGGCTCAAAGTTAAAAGTTATATAGCCTATCTATTAAAGCGAGCCTGTTTAAAAGAGCCCTCGATTAAAACTATGGTCTTACGGCGCCTGGTATTAAAGAAATATAGTCGAAATAAATATCATTTTGTGGATCGAATTCTACATTAAACTTGTAGATTCAAACTGAAATTCTAAATTTGAACTGACTATGCTGTGCTCTTTTTCTTCTGGCATCAGAACATCCAACAGAGCAATGCTTTCACTTTGAGCTCAATTACCTCGCTATCATAAGAGATTCCAAAAATCTGGTGACTAATAAAACTTTGTCAAAATATCGCCAATATTTTATCAGTTGACAGATTTTCGGTATCTCTCAAAGAAATTGAGAAAATTGAGCTCGAATCGCAATTATTGGAAAACAAACAAACCCTGATATAAGCTTTCATCTCTGACTCCGTCGTGTTCGTTTTTGGATCGTTCACAATCTCAGTGATATTTTCAGAAATCTTTCCAAGAAGTTCCTCGAGATTCGTCATTCGTTCCAAGGTAATCGCTCTCTCATATCTGCTCTCAACACTCCAAAACATAAATGCTCCAAAAATAGTATACGACAAAACCATCAATGCCACTATAATATGTCGAAGACCAATCTGTTTCCGATGGAATGCAAACCAATACATGGATCGATCGAAATGTCTGGGAGTTGGCAAAACTGTTTCCCCAAGTGCTCCTGGACTGCTGAGCACACTGACTGCATCTTGTTTCGGCTTGTATCTCTTTTGCAGTTGTCCGAAAGTGTCTTGATTTTTGTGAATGCCAGATACAGTATGCGCATTTCGTTCGTAGTATTTTTCAACAGCTTCTGCTTTTGAGAGACTTGTCGATGAGTTACTTCTGGCTAACGGCAAATTCTGCATCGTTGGATGAACCCGATACTTCTTTTTCTCTTCTGGGGCGGCTTTTTTGTCTTCTGGAGCAGGCTTCATTGGTTCCTTGCTGGAAATTTAGGAAAACAATGAAAAAACAACTATTGAGAAAAGTCGGAACTCTTTGAGTTATAAATCATGAGAAACTTAGGAAATTTATTTCTCAAAAATTTAGATTCTCATGTTTCATAATCTTTTTTTTTTCTCAAAAAAATTACAGTACCTCTCCGTAGAAACGCTTGGCTCTTCGTTTGGGGGTTTAACCCCACCATCATCCTCTTCGTCGATTTCTGAAAAAGTTTCAGTTTTCAAGGGACATCCATAAATGAAAGGAAATTATTTTTTTTTGCAATTTGAGAATCGATACTTTTTTGATGTATTTCCATATAATCCACCTACTGATGTTTAGAAGAAAGAACTGTGGCCTTCATATATAATCCACCTACTTCAAAAAATTCTGACATCATTTCAACGGGTTCAAAAATTAAACCACTAGCAGACTACTACTTTGCACTTGAACTACCGGAAAATCAGAACCGTCCAGTCTAAATGGATTTTTCTCGGTTCCTGTAAAAGATATCAAAAAGTGATAAACTGACAAAATATTGCTGACATTATGATAAATATTTTATCAGTTGACCGCTTTTTGATATCTTTTACAAGAATAAAGATAAATTGGTCCAAAGTTAGGGACCTCTCCTATTGGTGTTTTTTCTGCAAGTGGAGATTTTAAATAAAAAAAAACTTCAAATTGACTATTTGAAATATTTTTTGAAACTTATCAAATTGCTCTTTTTCCAACATTTTTTGAAAGGTGTGATTAGACTCATTTTATAGCTTGTAACATAAAAAATTCTAAATTTAAACTTTGATCTTGAAGCCAAAGTTTAGGCATAACATTAGATTTTCATAATTTTGAAAAATTTCTAATATGCCTTTTCAAACTCTACCAATTTTTTTTCGACATTCAATTCTTTGAATTTTTTGCCCAGAGCTTCAAAATGAGCCTAAACACGACTAGATTTTCTCAATTGAGTCTGAGTTCAGGCGTTTGCAAAATTTGAGGAGATTAAAATTACCGGAACTTTAAAATTAACCTTAAACGCTTATATTTTGTTTATCACATTCTGTAATTTTCAGCTCAATTATCTCGGTTCCTTCAATAGATATCAAAACAAATTTTAGTGATAAAATACTTATCATAATATCAGCATTATTTTATCAGTTGACAGATTTTCGATATCTCACATTGGAACCTAGATAATTGAGCTCAAATTTAAAAGTTAGGGAGCCTCTGTACTTCAGGTTTTACGGTAGTACCAGGGCTGTCGAAAATGACGGCCGGCCGAGGCCGCGGCTTTCATTTTTGGGAGCGACAACGCGGCCGAAAAGCCGGCCTCGGCCGGCCGGCTGTGCGGGGCCGAGGGAAACTTCATTTGAAATGAAAAGGGTCATTAGAACATGGAAAATCGGTTAAAAATATAATTTTTCAAAAGGGAGTAACTAACATGAAACAAAAATTATTTTTGGGACCCATGGGAACAATAGATAGACAATCGAATAGAAGTCATAATTTGTAAATTTTTAATTTTTCTACATTTTTCCATTCTTTTTCCATCATTCATATTTTCGAAATTACTTGCCAAAACTCTGCTCAAATTCAAAAATAAAAATTAATGTTTTTGTTGAAAACCCATAGTAGCGTCTTAATTTATTTGAACGACGGCCGGTCGAGGCCGCGGCCGCGGGGCCGGGGCCGTATTAAAAAAGTTTTCCAGCGCGGCCGGCCGTTTGACAGCCCTGGGTAGTACTGTGAAAATCCAATTTTTTTGAATCTCCGAAAACTCTTACCTTCCAGAAAATGACTATTTCCTGGTCCATTTCGGTTTGACATATTCCCCTTAAAAACAATTTGATCAACCATATCTACCGTATCCCTCTAATCATACCTTGTTTGTCATTTTTCAAATAAATTTTTCTTTATATTGAAAAGATAAAAATTGCTATCTTAACTGCGACTGACGACGTCGTGAGATTCTGCAGCTGTTAAAATGTTATATCACAATAAAAGAGAGAAAAAGATTGAAAAGACTGTTTGAAAAGGCGGGAAACCAAGAAGGAAAAATAACGAACCGCGCGAAAAGTGACAAAATGATATCATTTTGGGAGGGAGAGTGATAAGAAAAAGATAATCTAAGAAGACACACTTTTCATCTTTGTTCTTTTTGCCTCATAAAGTCGGATGATGGTCAGAGGGATACTAGTTGGGACTATTAAATTTTAAAGGGTACTACATGGATTTTTTTATTGGTTTCTTTTTTATCAAATGCCACAATGAATGGTGTTTTTGAAAACAAGGACTACTGTAGTTCAATTCGTCAAAAAAGTAAACTAACAGTTCGTTTGTTTGGGTCCGGTTTTCTTTAAAATCTGTTTGGTTTTTTGTTCAAACCTTTCGAAGCAATGATTCATAAGTTATGATCATAACGGACAATGGAAAAAACATATGCTTTTTTTTCTATAAATTTTGAAAAACTGAACTTTCTAAAGATGCAAAATATATCGTTTTACAATTCAGAAAAAGAATAGCGGTATTATGACAAATCGCATTAAAGAAAGCCTCTTAAAAACTTTTAGAAGATTGGCAGAAGTGTTTTTTTTTTATTTCCAGAAAACTTGAAATTCTGAAATGTACAGTTTCTGTGTGGTTTTCGTTATGTTCGAAATTTTTTCTTACGAATAAAGTGGCCTAACTTTCTGATGATTTTTCTAGGCCGCCGTAGTTGATGGTCTTTAACATGATGGCCTATTTTTTGCAAGTTGACTTTTCTAGGCCACCAACTTTATGATCTAGAAAGGGCCTCATCACCACCTGATATATTTTCAATCTCAGTTTTCTAGACCAACAAGGTAAAAGTCCTCGAAACGACCTGGTATCCCCCCGGTGTGTTTTTCATACCATTTTAACATGGTGGCCTAACTTTTGCAATTTGAGATTTCTAGGCCACCAACTTCTATGATCTAGAAATGACTTCATATTTAGCAGGTTTTTTTTCTGGACCATATAAACATGGTGGCCTAACTTTTGCAATTTCAGTTTTTCAGGCCACCAACTCTTATGAGTTTTCCAGGCCATTTTAAAGGAAACAAAAATTAGCACCAAGGTACTCAAAAATTCCATGACATTTTTAGACCCTCCCAGTCCGAATAGTTTTCAATGACATAGACGAAACATGTTTAAAACAGCCATATCTCACTACACTATCTTCCTTATCACACCGTCTCTTTTTATTGCTTCTGGTCATTCTTTGATACGTTGAATTTATGGGTTTTGATCTCTTCATGGCCCTACGAAACAGCTGATTTTTTTCTTTGTATTTCTTGGGTGAAAAATTTATAGACGAAGCATTCTTCAATTATTTACTGCACTGACGGCTGAAACTTTGATAGTCTTCATCGTCGAGTGATTCTCCGAATTCTCATTGTCCTCACATCACAAAGCAGAGCGATAGGAGCGAATGGATAACAAGAAAACGAGGGAATCGAATGGAGGATACATTGCTCATAACAACGAGATAGCCGATTTGTCCCAAATAAACGCCACACATTCCGCCGATGATCATGATAGGTTGTGGGATGTAAATGAGGATCAATGGGACTAGCGCCTGGAAAATGTAATGGAGTGGAAAAAGCCAAAAGGGACCATGTTCAGCATAGTCTAAAAATTTCAGACAATTGAAAATTTTGAGACATCTTTTTAGGACTTCAAAGTGGATTACCGTTTTTCCTCTAACCCAAACCATCAACTTTGAGCTCAATTATCTCGATTCCTATGATAGATGTTAAAAGTTGGTCAACTGATAAAATATTGGTGATATTGAGATAAATAAGTTATCAGTAGACAAATGTTTGATATCTATCATAGGAATCGAGATAATTGAGCTCAAAGTGCACGTATAGGTGGGCTTCTATTAGAGCAGATACGGTATTCACCACAGAATAAGCCAAAATATGGTAACAATTTTTCCGGTACTGTGAGACACAATGTTTCAATTAAATTCAAACAACAGAAATAATGTACTATTTTCGTTTGGTCGGTACTGTAGCCTACCTGAATCAGAATTGCACTCAAGAGTTGAAACTGCATTTCATCGAGCTTCGGAGAAATCTGAGCCATTTCGAACAACTCCATACTTCGTGGTAAGTTAGAACCCCACAAATCAGTGAGACATTGTAGAAGAAACCCTGGGCAGAACTTACTTGAAGCAAAATATTTTTTAATACCTGAAACCCAAACATCCCTAAAAGAGATCCCATCGTTCTCCATTACATCTCCCCATAATGGTAGTGACCTGATCTTTCCACGTGGCGAGTCACAATTCCGATGTACGGTTTTCCAGACAAGTCTATTCGCTCTACGAGCATTGTAGTAATGCTGAAAAAGTTTTTTGTGCGAGACGTAAAAGTTTTAAAAGTCTTACTTCAAATGTTCTGTTCTTTCGGGAACCGGACCCATGAATTGGAACATCAGAGTGGACCAAATGGCGAATGGAAGGAAACAGTAAAGAAATAAAATGATGACTCTCCAACATTGGAAGAAAGTAAGGCTCTGGAAATTCAAAATTTCTTGGAGTTTACAGTTTCCGAAGACTAACTTGCAATCGGAAACATAACGGTGAATAAAGTTGAAAGATAAGAAAGAACTAGCGATGAAGCATCGACAATAAAGAACTAAAGTTTCAAATGTTCCCTTCCAAGTAACAATCAGAAACTCACCCTGTAACAAGACTCCAAAACTGAATCTAATATCAAACATTCGGTCTTCAGAGTAGAAAACATAACTGAATCCTCGTACATCCACCAGAATACATGGTTGAATCAACCAGTCAATCAACGAAAATGTGAATGCGTAGAAGCAGGAAATCCGGAGAAAGTTTTTATAGCCTCCAAACTGTAAAAAATGAGAATAAGCAAAAAATATAGGTTATATCAGATAAAGTGGAGTGCATTTTTATCTTGTTCGAGATTGATAGTAAGAAAACTGATAAAACGACAGCTAACTCGTTTGCACCCCCGCTAAGAAAAGCCAATTGAAATCAATTTAGTAAAACAATAAGAAATTGGATTGAGACAAAATACTATAGAATATAAAAATCTTCGAATTTTGCCGAAAAATCCCTTTTTTCAGAGAGTGGGCTTTGTTTTTACAAAAATCACTAATTTCTAGCGTTTATATGCACCCAACCCACATGTCCCTGATGCATGCCTATAAAGTTTTTGTTGTCTAGAAAAATCTTATTAAACCCACACTTGTAAAATTCCGGGCCGGGCCTGAGGAAAATTTCAAGGCCCGGGCCCGGCCCGGAAGGCCCGGTAGCAAAAATTTTGTCATTTTGAACCGAATTTTGAGCCCTCAATACAAGTTCTGAATTTTTTTTGTACTTTTTGGATTGTTTGTCTGTTTGATCAAAAAATATTTTAAAAACTCGAAAAAAATTTTTTGATCGGAAAAAATCACATAAGGGTCCCCCCTTATGTGTTTTTTGAAATTTTCAAAACTTGTGGAATGACAGGCCCGCCGGGCCGGGCCTCCTAAATTCGGGAAAAAGCCCGGACCGGCCCGGCCCGTTACAAGTATGATTAAACCCATTGTCAATACTTCCCTCTACATGAACCTTTTCCACTGGGAGCCCCCCATACATATTAGCTCCTTATTTCCTTATTTCGAATCTAGACATCCACTTTTTTGGCTCATTTTCTAACAAGTTTCCAGCCTTCTGTTCGATTGATCTTTGGATATGTGTCTCCTGCTATCATGATTCTTGGTAGAATGAGTGAAATTTATGTGTGACATCTCCATATATCATCCAAATGACTCTTTGGTTTTCTTCTCCTCCATTCGTTGTTATGCTCCGCGCTATGATGTGAAGGAGTTACGGTATCTGCAAATTGTACTGCTCCTAGATCGCCAACAAATATTGAGGTTTCGGTAAGAAAACTTGGAAAAAATACGACGACTTGAACTTTTGCAATTTTTCAGCCAATTTGAGAGTGGATTCCATTTTTATCTTCCCCTTACATAGATCACTATTTTCTTGCGTTTAAATACACCCATCTCACACGTCTCTAGAGTATGTCGATACGATTGTCTAGGAACATCTCATTAAACCCAGTCAATATTTCTCTATAAGATTTCGGTAAGAAAACTTGGACCTCTTCTGGGAAACCCACTAAACATCCAACCACTTTTTATTATTGACCACTTCACAATTCTACCAAAAATGCATTCGGCACTCTCTAATATCACCCACATTTTTGGATGGTTCTCTTTTTTCACTGCCCTCTGGTCCACAGTCACTCTCTTCATTTTGGTTGAAAGAAAGTCTCCAGAAGCATTTAGTGGATATAAGAACTTTCTCAGAATCTACTGTTTCTACGCATTCATCTTCTCTATCATTGACTGGTTAGCCCAACCTAGTGCCTTGGTGGATATTCATGGTTTTGGTTATGTATTTTATTCTGAGAACAGACTTTTCGATTTGGGAGTCTATGCTGGTCATTTTGTATTAAGTAAGTTTATTTATGTAGAGTTTTCACAACACCGGAACTTCAGTAGCGTACTGTGGATGCTTCATTGCCAGCTCCTCATTCCTATCTCTCAATTTCATCTATCGGTATGTCTCCATTTGCAAGTAAGAGGCAAACTTCGCTATAACTGTTTAGGGCCCTTGTTTACAGACCCCGTCACTTAATCTACTTCAAAGGATGGCGAGTCATCCTTCTTTTTCTCTATTGTGCGGTTCCATTTGGAATCTGGTCCCTTTTGGTTTACACCATAATGGGACCAACTCCAGAGAGAGCCGCCCACTTAAAGTAAGTCCATGATACCGTAACCATGATTAAGAACAACATTTAGTTTGACCACTATCCTTGTGGAAGATGTTGATCTCACTGGAAAACCCTACGTAGCAGTTCTATGTCGCCACGTGGCAAACTACAGTTACCATAAATACGGAGAAATAGAATGGGGAACCATGGTAGCATTTTTAGGACTTTTTGGGTTCCAGGTACCACACACTTTATTCTCAAAAATTACTTTTGCAGTTCAGGGTTTTTTCTACACGGTATCTCTGGTCTGTGGATTTCTGACTTACAATGATACGCTGAATTTGTTCAAAAAGGCGCAAATGTCAAAAGAACTTTACAAGATGCAAATGCAATTATTGAGAGCTATCGTTATTCAGGTATCCAATATTTTATCAATGGAGCGCTTTTTTTAAACAAGTTTCCAGGCGTCCGTTCCATTGATCCTTGTATATATCCCTCCTGCTATCATGATTCTTGGTGGAATGAGTGGAATTTATGTGGGACAAATTGGTTATTTCGTTGTGATGAGCATCTCCATTTATCCTCCAATTGATTCTCTTGTTTTCTTGTTCTCCATCCATTGCTACCGTTCTGCACTATGCTGTGAAGAGGTTACGGTATTTGCGAATAGTACTGTTCCTAGATCGCCATCAAATAATAAGGTTTCGGTTAGAAATCTTGGAAAAATTCGACAAATTGAAAGTTTGCAATTTTTCAGCCAGTAGAATTGGAGAATCTCTAAAAATTCTGCGATTGTTTTTGAAGGTTTTATTCTTCAAATATCGTTTCACTTTCCAAAAAAATGATTTTTTGAAAATAATAAAATGAAAAATTGAAATGTAATACATAGTTGATAAAAAAACAACAAATTCTTTATTCAAGACATATGTACAAAAATTTAAAAAACTTCACAATATCCTTCTACAAACATCGGTCCAAACATTTCGTATATGTTCTAATCCTCGAGGTGTCAAATGAGTTGAAGTACTCAAATAGGACCTTCCAATCTCGTCGTAAAACCGAAAAGTTCCAGAAGTCGAATTCCAGAAAATCGGGTCATAATCTACGAGAACACATGTCGGACCACAATCTTTGGCGATTTTGGCATATCTCTGACGCGCTGTTTGGTACAAGGTTTGGTTGACAAGAAAATTCTGGAATAATTTTTGAATTATACGTTTTCACTCAATCACTAACGTCAATTTGTTCCATCGGAACTTTTTCCTTCAGCATTGGTACGATTTTTTCAATATATTCTACGTTTGGTCGTGGCATCGCATCCAAAATGTAAAGTCTTCGAGATATATTTGGTATAAATTTTAGCATTTGCTCTTTCATAGTTTCATAAATTGTGTCATTGTCGGAAACTGTGACATTCGGTGGAAACGGATCGCCAATAGTGACGAATCTAAAAAAGAAATATAATTATGAAACATTTTCTAAGAGCACCTTGTGAACATAAAAACAAAATCTGGCTTTTCCTGACGTATTCGTTCCTCAAAGTTGGTAAAATTAGAGCGACAAGCTCTTGATAAACGAGTAGGGTAGAGAGGCTCGCAAGCTGAAAAAATATTTTTTTTTTTGTTTTAATTTTAAAAAATCACGAACCCGAAGCAGCGCCTTGCAGAATGCTCTTAGCAATATGACCACATTCTTGATAGAAGACGTTAGCATGATTTGCTGTCCAACTATTTCCAATAATCATCACTTTATATGTTCCGGATAACCCGTCAGTTTTATGATGGCACCATCCAAATGGTCCGTAAGGAGATTCATACCGACAAGTCGGGACCATCAAGTTAAGATAGTCTTTTACATTCCAAAAGTGGTTTAAACGAGCAGCATCATCTGGATAATCAACCAAGTTGTTATGAAACTTCCAAAGATTTTACCTAACGTTAAATTTCCATGATCCAATTGTTCCATCATCGGCTGATCATAAACTAGCTTTTCTTTATTGATCAGAGCTACATTCAATATCAGAAAAATCAGAGTAATCACTCCTATGGTTGTAGAGCACTGCTTTAGGTACCATTTTTCAACTGTTTCATGAATGAAAATGGAAAAAAAAACAGAAGCAGCGAGAAGGATTAGCAGTGCTGCATGAAATTTCAGATTATACAAATTTTAAAATGTCAAAACAATTACTGTGTTGATCTTTTGTTGTAGCTAACTTCCAGTATGCATAAATGGGCCAATGCACTAGATAAAATAAATATGAAATATCTCCAAAGTAAGTTAATATGGGATTTGACAAAATTCTTTGATCAGCTTTCGAAATTGATATGAGCAATCCTGTGGCAATTGTGATGATCAGTCTGAAAACCATAATTTCGATTGGTTGAAGGTTAAAATATTACCGTAGGATTCTAGAATCCAAGACAATTGGATAGAATAATAGAATTAATAAACTAAAAATAAGAAAAATGCAAAAATAATTTAGAAATGTATCAATTTTTTTGTTGGGTTTAATAACAGAGTCATTGTCATCAGAATCCATAAGTAGTTTCTCAAATTCCGGATCTTCAGAAGTGGAAGCTTCAACGTTGGTACAATTGATTATTGAAACCAAGAATCCTGAAGTTTCAAGATATGTACATACAATTCGATATCATAAAACGTTAAGAACCAATCAGAAACTGCCAAATCCTTGCAAAAACACTCATGAATGATGTAGTCGGTGATGAATAAAAATGATGAAAATATGAGCAACTTCCTGAAAAATCGAAAGTCTTGAATCATAATCTACAGTGCTTTTTGAGCTCAATTATCTCGGTTCTGATGAAAGATATCAAAAATTTGTAAACTGATAAATTATTTATCATAATATCATTAATTTTTTATCAGTTGACAGATTTTTGATATCTCTTATAGAAAGCGAAATAATTGAGCTCAAAGTGAACATATAGTGGGGTTCTGAAGCAAATAAGGGGTAGCTAACCTATTAAAATATAATAGAGAATCTGAAACCTCCTTGACAATTTCTCTCCGATCAGATATATCAAAGGTATCATTAAATAAAACTGAACCTCTACAGACAACGACCACGTATGGGTGAATATATCAATTGCAACTGAAAGCTGAAAATCAAAATTTTCAAAAAACCCAAAAATTTTCAAAGCTACCATTTGAAAATAATCATCCTCTAGAGATTTCGGTTGATTTGACACAAAAACCAGTGCTCTTGCCCCAGAATTTTGATTTGTAGCCCAAGATGTTTCGGGGAAAATTGCATACAGACTTATCAATGATAAGAAAATGATAAGAAAATATGAAGGGATTATCCGTTTCATTCGTTTTGAGTAGAACAATACAATCAGAGAACATGGGTGTGTAGGGTCTGATTTTTGGAGCAACATGCACATTAAGTAGCCGGAGAGGACAAAAAATCTGGAATATTCGCTATCAAATTTTCAGTAATTTCTCGAAAATCTTACTGATCAACACCCAAGTATCCATTTGGACAGTACTCGGGAAAAAAGTGAAAACCCACTACAGAAATAATAGCGATTCCTCGAATACCTTGAAGACCTGCTCGTTTTTGAGAAATTGGTTTCATTTTTTTTGAGTAGGATTTAGGAAAATTTAGGATGTATTTTAAAATGGAAGAGAGACCCAAAGAGCTGAACAAACGGATTCTGGTATTTTTGGATCCTCGTCGGTCAACAAAATTATGCAAAGTAGAGGACCGTTTTCTCTTGACAAACATTGTTTTTATTTCCATACCAGAGAATACTGAAAAAGGCTCTTTTGAAATTAGGGGCTGTACTGATAATAGGTCGAGTGATAAGAGTTAAAAAAAATTGTTGATAGCATTAAAATTTTTGGTGCGATTTTTTTTGAAGCGATAAACTGAAAACCAAAATGGTTCGAAAAGATTTATTCCACATTAAAATGTTTCAATCAAATTGCAGCTGCCATTCTAGCTTCGAAGTCTGCCTTCTTCTCTTTAAAGAGCTTCTTCAAAGCAGCTTGATCTTCGGAAGATTGAGTTTGTATGAATTCTCCAACCTTTTCCATAAACTGTTCGAATAGAGTTGCCTTGGTTTCATGATCCATTTGTTGACCTAGTGCTGGCTTGTTGGCAGCGTAAAAGTCTTTCGCAATTACTGAAATTCCATCAACGGAAGACTCGGAGATTCCAGCAGACAGAAGATCGGACTTGATGTCAGCAACAATTTAATGGAAAATGAAAAATTCATAATTTCACTTACGGAATTGAGCAGTGAAAACAGCCACAGCAAGAATGGAGAGAGCGATGAAGATTTTGAACGTTTTGAGAGAAGAACTCGATGATTGGGTTTTTGGATTTGTTGATCCTTTTATACCATTTCATGTACATCCTCACAAACCAGTAACCCATTCTGTGATTTGTCGATCACAGTTTGAAAGTTCATTTTATGTTTTTTTCAAAAAAAGTCGTCGAGTTCTTCTCTCAAAATGTTCAAGATCATCATCGCCCTCTCCGTTACACTAACTATAGCTGTTTTCGCTGCCCAATTCCGTTAGTGAAATTTGAATGTATATTTATCATCAAAATATTCTAGTTACATCAAGTCCGATCTTCTGTCTGCTGGAATCTCCGAGCCTTCTATTGATAGAATTTCGATTATTGAAAAAGACTTTTACACTGACAACAAGCCAGCTCTAGGTCAACAAAAGGATCATGAAACCATGGCAACTCCATTCAAACAGTTTATGGAAAAGGTTGGAGAATTCATGCAAACTCAATTTTCTGAAGATCAAAAAACTTTAAGGAAGTGTTTTGAAGAGAAGAAGGCCGACATTGAAGCCAGAATGGCAGCTGCAAATTGAAACAATTTTTTCATTGAATAAACATTTATGAAGAATTCTGATTTTAAGTTCAGACTAGAGTAATACTCGACTTGTTCGCTATAATTTTTGTCTGCTTCTCATGAATCTTTAATTTACTTTCCCATTAACTAGAGAAAATAGTCAAAACTGGGCCAAAATAAATCAATTTTGAGATACGGTATCGAAATCCCATGCTATTATTCAAAAAAAAGTTTAGCTCCTTCACTGCTGGACCATAGATGTGCCTTTAGATGGAGTTTCGGCAGCAACGCGCATCGCTGTCAGACTAAAGTGATACTCGGCGTGTTGATGTACAGGATGGCGCATAATTAACCGGACTCAAGTTTGTACTAGGATGACATTTGAGTAAAGCGTTGTACTGTGCTCAAATTTGGAGTGCTAAAGCTCAAATAATCCATCAGTAAACTGACCGAGTTACAAATAATTTGATCATTTTGAGATGAGTTATCGCTTGACAAAGTTGCTCCAGACTATGAAAATCACAATGGTGGGCAAGAAACATTATGCCAATTATCTTTGGACAATCAGAACAATACCTAGATTTGAAGAAACGCTTTGAAAATTTCCGTAGCTGTGAATCAAACGTAAAACTTAAAATTTCTTAAAATTTTCGTGCTTACAAGTTAATTATGTCTAAAGAGACACAAGTTTTTTTGCCATAAGGATTGGTGCAATTCTAAGATTCTAGAACAGCTATCTTCAAAAGCTTCTTTGACACAACCAGATTTGAAGAACTACTGTGAAATACTTTATTTCATGAAAAGCAACTCAAAGCAAATTAATGCCCTCTCTAACAATTGACGGAATAGAATAATCGAGTCCATGCAATTGTAAAATCACATAATAATTATTCACATCTTCTGAATGTTTTCCAACAACACTTATGACCGATAACAACTCGGTGTATCTGATGGGACCACACTTTTCATATTTTTGCAAGCAATAGTGGAAAAGAGCGCTACTATAAACATTCTGATAGGTGGAAACCAAAATCTGTCCAGTTTCCGATAGATTCGGTAAAGCTGAAAAAATGGATAGTGTTAAAGGTTACGGTATCTGGCTATCAGTTCACCTGGATTGCAAAATATCAATACAAGAAGCAACAAAAATTCTTCTTTGTTAATTTTCAAATCGATAAATTTAGAAATCAATCTTCGCCTTATACAATTCCCAACTTCCTCTAATCTTGAATTCTCAAATTCATGAGGCAGAACATCCGAGCCATCAGGAAATGATAAAACCTCTTGATTTGAAGAATATACTCGAAAAGCTGCACAAAAACTAGACACATTCATGAACGAAGATTTTGTTAAGATCAACTGATCTTCTGGTTTTGCCAAATAGAGGAATGCAAACATTTTCATGAACTCAATTGTGGCTAGAGCACTCATATAAATCCACGATGTGAAATTCATTTGTGATCCTGGATCTCTTTCAGTATAAATGACTCTTTTAAAGAATAATACAGTAGCTACATTTAGATCCGGATCGATTGGATAGTAGTTACAGAGAATTTGATATCGATAGGAATCTAATTTTGACAGCTTTTCAAACAATTCGTTCAAAGGAGGTTTGGGGATTAATGGTTCCAAAGTCATTCCGGATTGGAGGCATTTGTGGAATCGACAGAATTGACAGCCGGCTAAAGTGTCCGAAGAACATTCTCCATTTCCTGACACACAGGGTTTCAGTGGGGACTCTTTGACGACATGGCGCCGGAAGAACATTTTACATGCGTTGCAGCAATCAACCTGGAACAAATAAAAATCCATAAAACCTGTATTAGAAGGGCCCTTCAAAAGGGGCGCATAATTCGGAGGGTACAACGATTCGGGGGTACAAAAATTGTCGTTTTTCAGACATTTTGTACCCCGAATTGAGGACCCCATGACCCCAAAATTTTTCCACCGTCCGAATCACGTGCCTTCCAAGAAGGGCTTGGAAAAAAAAGAAGGACCCTCTGGAGGTACTTCGGAACAATAGAAGGGCCAGCCCTTCTAATACAGGTTTTGAGGTACTTAAAAAGATGAAACTAACACGGTATAATCTTAAACCGTTCTAGTGTCTATATGAAAATCATCCTAGTCGTCATCAGATATCGTATCATTAAAACTTACCCCATAACTGAAATCACTAGTGAGCCGCTGGCAAATGACACAGTTCCGAGCAACGTGGACCATTATTAGTTGGTTTGCGTTCTCCGTGTTATCTCCTGTTAATTTTTATACCCAGCCGCTTACCGTAACCCCAAAGTCAAAACATCTGCATTTCACTTCCCCTCCCACATTCCTTAGTCTCCCTTATTTTCTAATGGGTGTTTTATTTTGTGTTTAGACATTTTCTATGACTCCTTCACGTCACAAACTCCACCCCTAACTGGAGGGAAAAATACAAAGAGGAACTTCACCTGGAAAAATAACAAATTGGTATCGAAAATGATTTTTAAATGTAGATTAGTCTGAAGAAATGCGGAGGAAAAACAAGATTTCGGTACAAAGAATGTCGATGAGTCAAACGCAAAATTGTCGATGTCACGGTCCGCCATTTCGGGGTGGACCCGCCTGGGTCGTACTGGGTCTCTTGTTCCACGGATGCCAAAAGCAGTGGTACTGTCATTGGGCAGAAATGTCCACCGGATTCTTGTGGGCTCATGTAAGGACCACTGCCGAGCTCAGCAGGACAACGGACTGTCTACGCAGGCCGACAGCAGGACAACGGACTGTCTACGCAGACCGGCGCGCTATCAGTAGGTCACACTTTCCATTTGCTTTATAAATTGCAAAGATAAGACCTCTGAGTGCACCGAAAAAAATAAAGAAGATAAGGGGGTGATGTAAATGATGTTGTATGTATACAGCATTCCTGAAAACCATAAAAAGTCAAAATTTTTGGAGAAATTGAGAATTCTCAAACTTCTCAAACTTCTCAAACATTCTCAAACTCGCCAAGCTCAAAGTTCAGTTTTTTTCAAAGTTACAAGCAATAAAATGGGCTAGCACTTTTTTGTTTGTTTCGACTGTAACTTTGTTTAAAGACAAGATACAGTTTTCCAAACAGTTACATTTCGTAGTAGTTGGCAATTTCTATCCTGTCTATTATAGGTGTTCCAAAAAATTAATTATGAAAGATGATATGGTACAAGGCCCCCGTTTTTTTTTTGCAAAATCCCGGTTTACAAGTATCCTCCGCTGTGAAAAATGCCAAGTTCTTTGAGGGAAAAATTTATTGAAAATTGTGAGGTTACAATTCGAAAAAATGGAAGTTTAGAAATTCAGTTTTTTCACGAATTCTTAATTCGAAAGGATTTCGGCAATTCCAGAATTCAATGATTTGGAAATTAAGCTATTCAGAAATTGGAAAGCTTGAAAAGTCAGAAATTAAGAAACCCGGGAATCCCAAAATTGAGTCATTCGGAAGTTCATAATGATACGATTAGCCAATTAAAAAAAATCAGAAATCCGAAACTAATTTTAAAATCCAAGAAAGTGTTTCAAATTGCCGAAATTCGGAGTATAATAAAGTTCGATTTTCAGAGTTTGAGAAGTTGAGAAATTGAGAATTTCTCGAAATTTCCGAAATTTAGAAATTGAGGGTTTGGGATATTTGAATTTTCGAAAATTTTTTATTGCGTAATTCCAGTGGTTGGGAAATGCGAAAATCCAAATTTTTAGATCATTTCAAAATACCGATAAATCCGAATCCTAGAAGTTCGATAAGAGTTTTCGTAGATAACCTATTTATTTTACTGTTCGTCGCTCCGCTCCTTACTATTCTTTTGATGGTCACGTCAATTTATATTTCATTTTCAATCTTTTCAAAATTGTGCGGACAGACTGACGAACAGAGAAAGAGACGCAACTTCATTTATTTATTATACGAGTGATTATCTCTATTCCTATGAGAGATATGAAAAATTCGTCAACTGATAAAATATAGTTGCTATTATGTTAAATAATTCATGTGTTGACAAGCTTTTATATATCTTTCATGGGAATCGAGATGATTGAGCTAAAAATTGACTCGAACATGCTTTCCGCGGGGAAAAAAACTAATAAACTTCGAAATTTGAGTGTTCAGATTTCAGCTCAATCGATTGACCTTGAGTGGGTAAAAGGTTGTGAGATAGCTCAATTGGTCTCAAGCTTATGGTCATAGACAACTCAAAATATGGCTGAAAAGTGTGGGATTTTTGATACCCTGCACGGCATTGAAAATTATTTCAGGCCTGACCAAAGCCCGGTCCCAGGCCTTAATTTCACCAGCGTAGAAAAAAGATTTCATATGTTATTCTGGTACAAATGAAATCCGAGCAATGGAAGAGGAACGCCGGTGGCTGTGCCCGAAGTTCCCACGACAACAACTACCGTAATCCAGTAATACTTTTATTTTCCGTGTTTATTTTCTCGTTTTTCACTGCTTTTCGCCGATTTTTCTGTTATCTTTTCCCACAAAAGTCGAAATACAAATTTTCAGAACTGAAAAAATGACTGAGCACGCACGAAAACTAGACAATGAATCCGGCATAAAATATTTTTAGGTTGGCCATGGCCACCAGCTTTTCTCATCTACATCTTCGGTTTTTTAAACTAGAATAATAATTTGAGAAATAGAAATATCTTTTTGACTAAAATAAAGATCTTTAAAAGAGAAAGTGGACTTTCTTTGTGTGTTTGATTTCAAAGTGTTTCAATGATCCACATCAAATGTTTTAAGCAGATGTTTTTGACCTCGTAATTTTGATGACAGATAAATTTGAAATTTGAATTCAGAGCAAAATAGACTGATGTTTCATCTCCAAAAGTAGTTTTCATAATATTCTAAAAATAGATTGCTACCAAATTGATTCAATTTTATTTCATTGATCTTCAAAGCCATCAGCTGTCCGACCTACCCATTATGCTTGTCAGAAATTCCTAGACACTTTCAAACAACTTCCTTCCCGTCTATTTTTCGATTATCGAAAATATTTTTTCATGTGAGGCTAGTCACAAAAATAATTACTACAGACTACTACCGATTTTATTACTACTCGTCATTCAGACCTTCACCGGGTTAGAGGATTTCAGACGTCTTCTGACATGTGTTTTGTCACCAATTGTGGATTATGGTATAACCACAATACAAAGATTATTCTAGATATTAATTATAGCTCAATAAGTCTATAAACATGTTTGTTCAAATTTTCATTTATAGGCTGATATTTAAAAGCCTTGTAAATAGGAAATCTAGGACGAAAATAGACATCCATAGGCGATCGAAAAGCAAAGAAGACAGGTTATATTGCAGATTTTTTTTATACTGCAATGAAATAAAAATTGCCGGGAGTAGACCATCTATTTCTCTGGGAAGTATATTGGAGTTGAACTGTGGTGCTGTCACAGATAGATCAAACGCCTGAAAAACCTGAAGCAAAGTTTTTTTTTTGATAATAACCAAGCTACAAATAGACACAACAAATTTTTCGTAGGCACATTTTGGATCAGTTTTTGACTATAAAGTTTAGGGTCTAAACAAGCTTCTGATCTTTTGATACTTCATATTTTTAAACGTCGTTTTCAGCTATAAATAATTCAAAATTCAGACATCACTATTACTGAAAACCTATGCATAGCACAACTGAAGTTTTCAAATTTGCATTTATCAAAGTCATGAACACAGATACTGTAACATTTCTAGCATAAAACCAATCAAATCGGCAACATTGACAGACATTTTTTTGATTTCTATAAAAGATACAGTACCGGTCAATAAGATAAAAAAGACTTTCCAGTTGATTTCCGGTCATTTTATTTTCCGGACCATATTCGGGAGTCCGGAGCTCGGCTATCAGAATTCCTATCATTTTGAAAGCTTCGCAGGGTGTAAAATAGACCTACTAGATTGAAAACTTAGCATTCACAGAATGTTTTCAATATTCCTAGTTTTTCAGCTATTTGCCGATTTATGAAAGACATCTGTTTTTGTGTTTTCTGTACAAAAAAATGCCAAAAAGGGGTGTCCCACAGAAATTGGCAAATAGCTGAAAACGTAGGAATTTTCAAGAAATACTGCGAATGCAAAGTTTCTAATCTAGGCCTGTTTTATCACCTTCAAAATTTTCGAAGTGATCGAAAACTTGACAACAGAACTCCAGACTTTTGAAAATTGCCGAAAATCAACTTAAAGGGGGGACTCCGGTCAATTTTTTTATTGCATCAAAATGTGTTAAAATTCATCTATTTTCAGAATATTATTGCGAAAAAATTCGAAAAAAATCCGAAATCCCCAAAAAACGCCGTTGAAAAGGAAAAAAATTCAAAAAAAGGTGCCGCCGAGGGACGAGGATTTTCAGTGAGACCCCTAGGCCACGCGACCGGCGCGACTTTCTTACCGTACAAATTTT